AGGGGTCCAGTTTCTGCTTTCTGCACATGGCTAGCCAGTTTTCCCAACACCATTTGTTAAACAGGGGATCCTTTCCCCATTGCTTGTTTTTGTCAGGTTTATCAAAGATCGTATAGTTGTATATATGTTGTGTTGCCTCCGGTGCCTCTGTTTTGTTCCATTGGTCTATATCTCTGTTTTGGTACCAGTACCATGCTGTTTTGATTACTGTAGCCTTGTAGTATAGTTTGAAATCCGGTAGTGTGATGCCCCCCGCTGTGTTCTTTTTGCTTAGAATTGACTTGGCTATGCGGGCTCTCTTTTGGTTCCATATGAAGTTCATGGTGGTTTTTTCCAGTTCTGTGAAGAAAGTCAATGGTAGCTTGATGGGGATAGCGTTGATTCTGTAAATTACTCTGGGTAGTATAGCCATTTTCACGATATTAATTCTTCCTAACCATGAACATGGAATGTTTCTCCATCTGTTTGTGTCCTCTCTGATTTCGTTGAGCAGTGGTTTGTAGTTCTCCTTGAAAAGGTCCCTTACGTTCGTTGTGAGTTGTATTCCAAGATATTTTATTCTTTTTGTAGCAATTGCGAATGGCAGTTCGTTCTTGATTTGGCTTTCTTTAAGTCTGTTATTGGTGTAGACGAATGCTTGTGATTTTTGCACATTGATTTTATATCCTGAGACTTTGCTGAAGTTGCTTATCAGTTTCAGGAGTTTTTGGGCTGAGGCGATGGGGTCTTCTAGGTATACTATCATCTCGTCTGCAAATAGAGACAATTTGGCTTCCACCTTTCCTATTTGAATACCCTTTATTTCTTTTTCTTGCCTGATTGCTCTGGCTAGAACTTCCAGTACTATATTGAATAGGAGTGGTGAAAGAGGGCATCCTTGTCTAGTGCCAGATTTCAAAGGGAATGCTTCCAGTTTTTGCCCATTCAGTATGATATTGGCTGTTGGTTTGTCATAAATAGCTTTTATTACTTTGAGATACGTTCCATCGATACCGAGTTTATTGAGGGTTTTTAGCATAAAGGGCTGTTGAATTTTGTCAAATGCCTTCTCTGCGTCAATTGAGATAATCATGTGGTTTTTGTTTTTGGTTCTGTTTATGTGGTGAATTGCTTGCAGTGTTTCTACTGAGCAATGTGATCTTTGTCTATACATAATATTTTTAAGTTTTTTGTTTTTAAGATTTTTACTTTATCACTGGCTTGACAATTTTGATTATGATATTGCTTGGCACAGTTTTTTCCATGTATCTGTGCCTTAACTGGTTTGGGTATGGGGTTATCATTTTTAGTTTGGAAAGTTATCAGTTATTTATTTTTCTCCACATCTCCTTCAGGGATTCCAGGTTTTCATTTATTGGGCCCCTTACAGTCCCACAGCTCAGTCATGGTCTTTTCAAATATTTTTCTCTTTTTTCCCTCTCTGTGACTTATTCTGTACAGTATACACTACTATGACTTCAGCTTTATTAATCTGCTATTAATTTGATTAAGTGTATTTTTCATACTATACTTTGGAGTTTTTAATCTCTAAGAGTTTGATATAGGTATTTTTTTTTATTTTCCACATTTCTACTTGACTTTTTGAACATATAGAATACAGTTATAATGACTGTATTAATGTCTTTCTCTGCTAATTTTTACATTTATGTTAATTTCTGGGTTTGTTTGATTCAATATCCTCCTCATTATGGGTCCTGTTTTCCTACTTCAAGCATGCCTTTAATATTTGATTAGCTGCTAGACATTGTGACTTTTACCTTGTTGGGTGCTGGATATTTTGATATTTCGTAACATCTTTAGTATTTTTTGGGATGCTGTTAAATTACATAAAAACATTTTGATCTTTTTTTGGCTCTTGCTTTTATAATTTGTTTGGCAGAATGGAGCTGTCTAGGGTAATTATATTCTACTATTAAAGGAAGGTCTTCCTGAGTACTCTTCGCAATATCCTGTGAATTAATGAGTTTCTCCAGTGTATTTGATGGGAACCGGTGCTATTGCTGGACCTGTGTAAGTTCCAGACACACTTTCCTCTTACCTTTTCAGATGACCATTTTTTGGCCAAGACCATGTCTGCCCTGCAAGCACAGAGCCTTGCCCTTGCTGCTCCACTGCCCATTCACACATGCTGTCAGCTCACAATGGATGATGATATTGCCATGCTCGTTGTTGACAGTGGCTCTGGCATGTGCAAGTCAGGCTTCATGGGCGACGATGCCCCCTGGGCTGTCTTCTCCTCCATTGTGGGGCACCCCAGGCACCAGGGCCTCATAATAGACATGGATCAGAAGGACTCCTATGTGGGCGACAAGGGCCAGAGCAAGAGAGGCATCCTGACCCTGAAGTAACCCATCGAGCATGGGCATGCATCAGAAGAACTCCTATGTGGGGATTGAGGCCCAGAACAAGAGAGGCATCCTCACCCTGAAGTACCCCATCAAGCATGGCATCGTCACCAACTGGGACGACATGGAGAAGATGTGATACTACACCTTCTACCACAAGTTGTGTGTGGCTCCCGAGGAGCACACTGTGCTGCTGACCAAGGGCCCCCTCAACCCCTAGGTCAACAGCAAGAAGATAACCCAGATCATGTTTGAGACCTTCAACACCTCAGCCGAGTACATGGCCATCCAGGCTGCGCTGTTCCTGTATGCCTCTGGCTGTACCACTGGCATCCTGATGAACTCCGGTGATGGGGTCACCAACACGGTGCCCATCTATGAGGGGTATGCACTCCCCCATTCCATCTTGCTTCTAGACCTGGCTGGTGAGTACCTGACTATTTCATGAAGATCCTCATCAAGCGCAGCTACAGCTTTACCACCACGGCCGAGTGGAAAATCATGTATGACATCAAGGAGAAGCTGTGCTACATCTCCCTGGACTTTGAGCAGGAGATGGCCATGGTGGCTTCCAGCCCCTCCCTGGAGAAGAGCTACAAGCTGTCTGATGGCCAGGTCATCACCACTGGCAACGAGCAGTTCTGCTGCCCCAAGGCACTCTTCCAGCCTTCCTTCCTGGGCATGGAATCCTGTGGCATCCATGAAACTACCTTCAACTCCATCATGAAGTGTGACATGGACATCACAAAGACATGTCAACACAGTGCTGTCTGGTGGCACCACCATGTACCCTGGCATCGCCGACAGGATGCAGAAGGAGATCACTGCCCTGGTGCCCGGCATGATGAAGATCAAGATCATTGCTCCTTCCCAGTGCAAGTATTCTGTGTGGATCGGTGGCTCCATCCTGGCCTTGCTTTCCACTTCCCAGCAGATGTGGATCAGCAAGCAGGAGTATGACAGTCTGACCCCTGCATCACCTACGGTAATGCTTCTAGGTGGACTGTGACTTACTTGCATTATGCCCTTTCAGATGACTGTTTTGTTGGTTTTGGATAATTTCCTCATATGTATATGCTGATTAGTATTCTGAATACTCAAGGGGTAGATTCTGTAGATATCTGGGGTTCTCTCTCTTTGCAGCTCTCTTTACCTGGTAATCTGTTCTATGAAGTCTAGCTCCTTTTGTTTTCCCAGACTCTTAGTGCCATCTCCTCAACTCAAGTATTCCAAAGAGCTCTTCTCTGTTCTCTTCCTAGAAATTCTTTCAAGGCAGTAAGCTAGTGTAATTGTAGGGCTTGCTTTGTTCCCTCTCAGAGATTATTGTTCTTTGTTGTCTGATGTCCAGAGTCTTGAAAACAATTGTTTCATACATTTTATCTGTTTATGTTTGTTTCTTTTCCTGGTTGTTTCAGGCAGGAAGTAAATCCAGTCCCTGTTACTCCATCTTGGCCAGAAACAGATGTAGAACTTTTTCCACTGTCTACCTCTTTACGGTAATCACAGAGGGCCTGACATAGAAAGGTGGTCTTTTCCTCTTCTCTTTCTCCACAGACTCTATTAGGTTTTAGGTCCCTAAATTCAGATTAGCAGGAGGGGAAAGTAAGAGGGCTTACTTAAACTTCCTAAACTAAGCTTTGTTATCCAATTCCGGTTTTACCATTGCTATGTTCCAGTGGTTACCAGATACATGCTCAGCTATTAATATATTTGTACTTCATTTCCATTTGTATAGTGGTATTTGTTTGTTTGTTACAAAAAGGCCTTTCATTTTGGGAGTTCTGGAGAAATGAAAGGGTGAATGATAGGACTGCCTAAATATCACTTCAAACCTCTAACATCCATCATCCAGAACCTTCACATTTTAGAAGTGTGTGTGTGTCACACGATCACAACAAAACTTGTGTTACTAAGATACACTATGAGTGGTTAGTTCAAATGAGAGAATAATTCTGATGGATTGAAATGTATAAACTGCCAACTTTCTCCATAAAGTTACAGAAGTGTGGAAGCATATGAGAAGCAGTAAGAGAAAAGAAAGTAGAGGTGATCAGCAAAGGTGTAGGTGATTAAAATTAATGACAGGAGTGGATGAGTTACTCCCAAGGCAGAAAGGGAAATGACCTTTGAAGACACATAGGAGTAGATGGTCAACAACTTAGGTGGGAGAAGTGAATATCACATGGTCTGCAATACTGTGGTCATAGAATGTCAAAGATACGGACCTTTCTATTGGGATAAAGGTGCTAGCAGTATTATTGTCGTGAGAACATAACAGGCAAATAGTCAAATGTGATATCTTACTGACTTCTGGAGGTACATTAGTATTCCAACAAATGTTAGAATGAATAACCATTGATTGACAGTTACATATACTCTTTCTGGAAGGTTCAAAATATTTCAAGTTTTACTATACTATTGCAAAAGAACCAATGAACAAGTTTTATTGATATAGTAGGAAAATAACTGATTTAAAGCAAAGTCTTATTCACCACTGACTACACCTCTATGGCCATGTAACTATAACAAGATATACCATTTAAAGACACTGTATTATCTTATACCAGCAATAAATGTAGTGAGAGACATTGTTTTGTTGATCAATGTCAAGCTCTGGAATAATGTAATACTGGTAGGGCACAGAAGCCTACATACCAAATGTCTTCTGACATAGTCATCTACTTGTTGCTTTAGTTCAACTCGGCGTGCATCAGTGAGTTCCTGAAGTCCTCGCCAAGGAGCAAATAATTTCTTTTTCTTACGGCACTTTGCTAGGAATTTAAGCGCCTAGAGGGAAAAAAAATTGAAGGCTTGTGATTTTTCTCCCCTAACTAATAAAACTATTTTCTCACTACAATATATGGTAGTGACCACATTGCAATGCTGATTAATTCTGAGTGTGTATAAGGAGGGGAATGGGACTGTGATAAGATGCAGAACAGTGACTTTTTAAATACATAGTCTTCTTTAGATATTACAAGGATATGTTCATGTATTATTTGTGCAGTAAGTAATAAAGAGAAAAAAAAAAGCAATGGATTCTAGTCTCCATTATAGTCCCTTATAAACTATGATTCTGGGCAAATCACTTGATCTCTAGAGGACAGGTTCTATGTCTATAGAAAACAGGGACCTTAGTTCTACACAGCTTACAGGATTGTAAATACCAAGGAGACAGTATTTCTGTCTGAATTCTTTCTGATGTCCTTCAGAATGGACTGGTAAAAACAAATCTTGTAATAGGCATGATATGGGACACATTTGCAATTATTCTTCCCAGTTGTTTTCACTCTTCTCGTCTTTGTAGGTTTTATTTTCATCAAAGTATATGTTCACATTGTTTAAAGCAGGGTCAGCAAATCATGGCCCACAGGCCAAATCCACCCTGCTGCCTGTTTTCCTAGGGCTTGAGAGTTAAAAATATGTGTGTGTGTGTGTGTGCGTGTGTGGTTTTTTTTTTTTCATTTTACATTTTTAAACAATTTGAAGGGAAAAAAATATTTAGTGGCATGTAAAATTATAACTATTTAGTGACATGTAAAATTATATGAAATCTAATGTTTACAAATAAAATTTTATTGGAACACAGTCATGCTCATTTGTTTACTATTGGCTATGGCTGCTTTTGTGCTCTAACTGAATACATGTGACAGACGGCATGACCTGCAAAGCCTATAATATAGCCCTTCCAAGACAAGTTTGCTGATGTAATTCTATTATTTAATGTGTCAGTTTCATAAGAATTAATAGAATCTTAAAGAATTCTTACTAGAATTACCCACTTACCCTGTCCCCCCACCCAAAGGCAACAATTTAATTCAGGTTTTTCTTTTGATATTTAGCTCCATCTACTTTTCTGTGATTTTTTTGTTCAGATATAGGTATTATCTATTGATTTTCTTATATGATAGATATGAATTTAGATCTTTTTCACTACTTCTACTCCCCACCCATCCTATATTATTACATCATAATTTTAGTCAAATTAATGATCCATATTTACAAAATTATGACCACATAAAGGCTATTCACTTTTGAACAATATAGTATACTATAATTACTTTTCCTTCCTTATACATTTTTATTTTCTCTGGAATTATTAACTCTCTTTTTTCCCATGCTTTGTTTTCCATATAGTTTCTACTGATTATATTTTACAAACTCTGCTCTAATTGTCAACACATTAAAACACATCAGGCATTTTATCAAATTAATTTTCTTGGACACATTTTCTAGAGCGTCTTGACCTGCTGCAATTTGAATTGACTTCTCTCTATACCTTGGGCATGGCTGTCATCCTGTGGCCTCCATTCACCATCACCTTGGTCTACTTTTCATCTTTCCTTTTGTTCCTTGGATTCCATATTACATTGTTTATCAGGTTACTCCCTACTTATCTAAAAATGTCTTTGGTCTGTCCTTACCTTTAATTAATAATTTCGTTGGGAATAGAATTCTAGTTGGAAATCATTTTCCTTCAAACATATGACAGTCTTACTTCATTACTTTTTAGCTTCCAGTGTTCCTGTCCAGATGTCCTTTTGTTCCCAGTACTTTTCACAGTATTATGAAATAAATATGGAAGTGTTTCTGTCACTGTATCGGACACTTAGTTAGTCCCCTTAATCAAAAATTCATGACATTCAGTTCTGGGAAATCTTAAGTTATTTGATTTTCTCTCCTCTGTTTTTTCGTGTTCTTGATTTCAAATGTTTGGTTGTTTGACATCCTAGACTGATAGTCTTTTCTATCTATCTATCTATCTTTTTTTTTTAATTAAAGATTCTGCCTTTTCTTTTTCAAATGACATTTTATATGTTGATCAGGCTGGTCTGGAACTCCTGAGCTAATGCCATCCTGCCACCTTACCATTCTGAGTAGCTGGCATTCCAGGTGTGTGTTACTGGCAAAATCTTTCTTCCTTGCTTTCTGTGAGATTTCTTGAAATTTTCACGTATAGCCCTTTTATTAGTCTTTCAGTTTTCCCTGTTGAATTTTATTCTATGTGCTCCCTTTTATATGGCATCTTGGTTTTGTCTCATATGTTACTTTTCCTTATCTCTCTAAGGATAATAGTAACAGATTAAAAAACTTTTTTCCTTATACCTGCAACATTTATATTCTATCAATTAGTTTTATTCCATTTGTTTTGTCTTTGGCTTTCCTTAGCTGTTCAGTGATAATATCTTTCAACTGATAAGAGTGGGCACTAAGAAGTTATTTTAAAAATTTCCCTAATACCCTTGCTTTTTTGGTATTTTTTTGAGACAGGGTCTTACTCTGTCACCCAGGTTGGAGTGCAGTGGCTTGATCATGGCTCACTGCAGCCGTAACCTCCTGGGCTCAAGTAATCTTCGCACATCAGCCTCCAGAGTAGCTGGGACCACAAGTGTGTGCCATCATGTCCAGCTAATTTTTTGTAGAGAAAGGGTCTTGTTATTTTATCCAGCCTGGTCTCAAACTCCTGGGCTCAAGGGATCCTCCTGCCCTGGCCTCCCAAAGTGTTGGGATTACAGACATAAGTCATCACTGTGTCTGGCCTTGTTTTTAATATGGTACTTGAGTTTTCAACTGTGCATCCTTCTGTTGAGACTTTCTTCTTTCCTTCTATTCTCCCCTTTCCTTGAATTTTCTCTTTTAGCAAATTTCCTTAATTTTTAGCTACTGGAGAAACAATGCCTCTGTTTTTACATAAAGTAAGAGAGGAAGAGAAGATAGATAAACATTCTGACCTTTCTTTTCCTGCCAAAGACATTAATAACCAGTTCTTCCTGAGGGACAAGTTCACTGAAAGGATATTGGTATTCCTTTATATTATCTTTTTTTCTTTTCTTTTGACGACTGGTCTCATTCCTGTTGCCCAGGCTGGAGTGCAGTTCATGGCTCACTGTACCCTCAACTTTCCAGGCTCGGGTGATTTTCCCCACTTCAGTTTCCCAAGTAGCTGGGACTACCACTACATGCTACCACACCTGGCTAATTTTTGTATTTTTAGTAGAGATGAGGTTTTGCCACATTGCCCAGGTGGGTATATTACTTTAAATGAGGCTAATGAATTATTTCCCATTTTTTCTTAGCAAGGTCAACTGCAGTGCTAATATAATGTGAGTCATAGATGTAATTTTAAATTTTTTAGTAGTCACATTAAGAATATTAAAAATGGGCAAAATAATATTTACTGAGTTATATAAAACATAACTCAATATACACAAAATATTAGTATTTTGTCTTGTAATCAATATAAAAAAGCATTAATGAGATACTTTACACGTTTTTGTCATGCTACATTTTCAAAATCTGGTGGGTATTTTACACTTATGACACATTTTAATTTGGACTAGCTACATGTCAAGTTCTGCATAGCCAGCTATATATGCTTAATTACTACTATACTGAACAGTGCAGGTCTCTGGCGTGTCTTAGAAAAGGCTGCTTTAGGCCAGGCACAGTGGCTTACACCTGTAATCCCAGCACTTTGGGAGGCTGAGGTGGGAGGATCACTTGAGCTCAGGAGTTGGAGACCACCCTGGCAACTTAGCGAGACTTAGTCTCTACACGCATGTGCGTGCGCGCGCACACACACACACACACACACACTAGCTGGGCCTGGTGGTACAAGTCTGTGGTCCCAGCTATTATGGAGGCTGAGGTGGGAGGATCTCTTGAGCCTCATAGATCAAGGCTACAGTGAGCTGTGATCTTGCCACTGCACTCCAGCCTGAGAGACCAGAGAGAGACTCTGTGTCAAAAAGAAAAAAAAGTAAAGGATGCTTTAAAAATATGGCAAAATGTATCCTTTATTGACTATTGCCTTGATCTAATTTTCTCTACTTTTCTACTTCTTTTCTCAGTGTACCTTCCCATTTTTATTTTGCTTTTCCTTCTTTGAAAGTTATTCTTGGCCAGGCATGGTGGGTCACGTCTATAATCTCAGCACTTAGGGAGGCAGAGGCAGGAGGACCACTTTAGCCCAGGAGTTCAAGGCTTTGATGAACTATGAACACACCACTGCACTCTAGCTGGGTGACAGAGTGAGACCATGTCTCTTAAAAAAAAAAAAAAAGTAATCCTCTTATTTCCTTTTCCATTTTGGCTAACTTTGCTTTGACTTCATCTTGTTTTTATTAATGAGATGCAAAGACTTATAAACATGACCTTGACCCATCCCTTTTTGCTCTTAAACAGAGACTCACTCCTTTTTAGGTAGAGCAAATATGAGACAAATGTGACTAATCTTCCCTTTTTGCCAATTTGAAGTATAAAAGCCAAAACAACTTTACCTTCATAGCCTTCAGATACCTTCAGATACTCTCCTATGATGACTCCTACTTTTTCTCTAAGAAATGGAATGCAAACCAGGATATTTCACTTTATAGTAGAGGATCCTTTTACAAAGTATTGGGCTCATCTAAATCAGGCAAGGTAGTAAGTCAACTTAATAAGGGCCTAGTTAATTCTATGAAAGGGAAAACTTTAAAAAGGAGGTATTTGTGATGTAAAAGTATTATAAAGGCCAAACATTCCTCCAAAGGAAGTGTCTCCAACCCTGATATCAAATGGTTAATCCTTAGATGGCTTTGTTTAGCAGAAGGTAAATATCAGGAGTAAGTGTGATTCAATGATGGTGCAGGACTGTTTGTTGTAGATATAACCTGAGATCCTCAGAAGAGCCTGAAGAAGGAGTAGGAGGCAGACATCTCTTCCTATTTCTCTTGTGTTTATTCTATTATGTTTTTTGGATGTTTAAAAAAAAAAAAAACTTTGTAAAACGTTAATCACAGAGACTGTTCAAAATCTATCATAGTAGAAAACTGAAATTGACCTGAAAATTCAATAATAAGGGATTGTTAAACTTATAATTGTTATAGGACCTGAAATCCTAACATGAAAGTTAACGATGTGGAAAACTGGTAATTAAATTTAAAAGAAAAGCCTTGTGCTATGCTTTTCAAAGGCAACAAAATAGTACTATGCTCTAGACAGATTGCAGAAAAACTGACATTTAAGAATGATTCTACAATTAAAATGTTATAATGATTTAAATATATCTAATATCTCATCTGTGCATTTAAAAAATCGAATATCACATGCTGCGCTTGCATTGAATTTTGTAATTTACAAAATACATTACTATAAATTAGGGCATCTGATCCACATAACAACTGAGTAAAAAGAGTAAGGGTAAACATCTATTCATACATCAAGCACATGTGGTAAGCTAACAACAACAAGGCTTAGCTCCTTATCCTTGAAGAACTCACAGCCCAAGTAAGAAGGGAAATAATTAACAAAACAACATTATAGTATAGTAAATGATGTACAAGGTACAAGGTTCTAAGGCAGTACTAAGGACTCAGGGTCTAAATCAGCTTGGCCAGAGGTAAGGGGGTTTTCTTTTAGAAAGCTAAGTGTCTTGACCAATGCTTTACAACAGGTAATAAGCAAAGTCAGGTTTGAAGTCATGTTTTTGCCTCTTCATTCAGAGCTCTTTTTTTACTACATTGGACTCACTGCTCTTTGAAGTGTGACAGCTGCTTTATACTCTGTGAGAGACTGCCTCTGTTGGCGAAAATTTTTCCTTTCCCTGTACCCTCTCCAATGTTTCTGGATAATCACTGCTGATTTCTCTTCCATTTCTCGATTGTGTTTCTCCACCTGACCTAAAAAGATGATAGACACTATTACAATATACTCACTGCTATGCTTTCTTATGTTTTGGAATCAGAACAATGATAATAATAATCTTGCGTTCTTTTTATCTTTGTCAATATTGTTTACTAATTTTCCCAATTCTATTATTTTACAATGGTTCTAAGATTTTAGAAACAACGCTTTCCCAGATTATGTAGCTTCTTTAGAGAAAGAACTCATATAATATTTTTGTGGTAATGAGCAAATGGCTATAAATCCAACCTAAGAACACTTGAAAAAAAGAATCACAAGTACATGGTTATGAAGTCATTCAGTACCACCAGAGGGAAAGGGCAAAATGTGCGGATGTATTCTCTAGTCTACGTGCTTCCAAATTTCTCTTAAGTCACTCAGTCAGTTATACAGATGACTTTCTTTTTGCTTTCTTGGAGTTGTTCAGTATATAGCCCAGGGTTCACAGTACATATGTGACACACTAAGACAGTAAAATTGTTAATAAAATGAGGGCGGTATCTGAGGGAGTATAGGAAATGGATAGAATTTAAAGATCAATTGGATATGGAGGTAAAAGAGGGAAAGGACTCTAGGATTTCTCAAATGGGAAACTGAGTAAGTTCTTGGTGCCATTACCTGAGATGGTGAATAGAGGAAAAGGAAATCTCAGGAGTAAGATGACTTTGGTGTTTGGGATGCCTGTGGATATTCGGGTAAAGCTGGATCCAATAGGCAGCTGGCTACAGAGCTGTGTTATTCAATACACTATCCACAACTGACTACTTGGGTTAAAATAAAGTAAAATTAAAATTCAGGTTCTTCAGTGCTCTAGCAGCATTTCAAATACTCAGTAGCCGTCTCTAGCCATTGGCTACCATACTGGATGGTACAGATATACAACATTTCATTTTTGTAAAAAGTTCTATTGGGCAGTTCTGCTCTAAGAGGTTAGGAGAGAAGGTGAAGATAGAGACCAGATTTGAAACTGCTTGGCACTCAGCTGAGAGTTGAGCTAGTTATGGATGGATACCACAGGAAGAGCAAAATGAGAGAAATGGAACCCTAGAAAATACCTATATTTAATGGAGATGAAGTAAAATAAAGGGCTAGTGAAGGACCCTGGGATTGAATAACAAGAAGAGAGGTAAAAGAATAAAAGAATATTGAAACCACTAAGAGCTCCCAGACCACACCTTATTATTAATTTCAGCTTAGTCTTTCAAAGACATCAAGAAGATGTCACAACGTTTGTACTAAGGAATAAGTTAAGTTCTGATTGCAGAATGTAATAATATTCCAACTCCTTATTTCAATTCAAGAAGTTTCTTTGTGTCTCTAATTTATCTGAAAGATAAGAAAAGAAAACTGGTGGGGAGATTGTTCATCATCAACTAATAGGTCTGAATCAGAAAAAATAGTAACTGTTTTTGAACTCCGAAGACTTAATAAAATTTATCTGAAAAACAGACAAAAAGGACAAAGGTCCAAATTAAAAAAAAAATCATGTAGCTAGAAAACTTGGTTTGTTAAAAGATAAGCTAAATATTCTTATATTTATAAGGTTGATACTGCCACTCACCTGGATGAACTATTTCCAGCATACTCAGCCGCAATTCTCGGGAAAGTCTCATGGCTCTCTGTCTTTGAAGTTGCAACTGTAATCTGAGGTCCTCTTCTTCCTTCTTCCTATTTATCTCCAACAATATCTTTGTTCGTTTAGATCTGTGATGTAAATAGTGTATTATACATAATTTTAATAAATCGCATGTTTAAAAAATGTATGAAAAAATATATAACCTCACTAGTAACCAAATGAATGTAAAAAGATAATTTTATAAAAAAGATAATTTCTAGTGTCATTAAGATAGGATAAAATAGTTTGTCACCTGCTGCTGTTGTACAACCTTTCTGGAGAACTATTTGAATATATACATGCATTAAAAGTCTGGAAAAATATTTGAAGTATATAAATCAAAAACCTTAAAAATGATGACTAATTAATTCCATTACAAATAATTTTCTTAAGGAAATAATCATATATATACATATGAATTTATGTTAAAAAATGTTCTCCACAGTATTACAGCAGTAACAGGTTGAAAACAAACTTTCCATCTCACAACAGGGAATTAGATAAATAGATACTGGTTCATTCACCTGATGGGATGGTATTCTATAAACTGAAAAAACAATATGTTCAAAGAATATTTAGTGACATGAGAATATACTGATGATCTAATGTCAGGTTAAAAAGAAAATCAGGATATAGAAGAATGAGATCCAAATTGTGTCAAAAAGTTTGTATTTACTTACATAGAAAAATAAATAATTAAAAAAATTAAAATTTCAAGTGATTTTTACTGTATGATGTGATTACAGTTGGTCTTTATTTTCTTCTTATGCCTGCTTCTCAATTATTGACAACTGAACATTACTTTTATAACTGGTTATGAAAATTTTCATGTGGCCACAAACATTTCATATAATTATCATTTTCGTATTACCTGTTTTTATTCATCAAAATTTCTCCTTAGCCATTCCTAATTTTTGTTGCTTCCAATATCACTATGTAAGGAGACTACAAGTGGTCAGTTTATAGTAAATATACTCAAAATGCTTTCAGATACCCATAGAGAAAAAAACAAGGATAAGAAGAGAGGCAGAATAAACTACTTGTTTAATTGTATAAATTTAATTTTATATGTGTCCCTCAAGAACATTTTCTTTTAGATCTTTTTCTTAGAATTAAATGTAAACAAATGTGGTACCTTGAGTATAACTCTGTACTCTTAACAGCCAGACTTCATTATAGTATAGTTAGAGAGGATTATTATGATTTTCAACTCAAAATAGTTTATTTTGACAAAATTTTGTAATTATTTTGATTAAATTGTTTTGATAAAATTTTGTATTCCTGTGGTTGTTTCTCACAAATTCTTAACTTTCATCAATTACAACTTAAATTTTCTCTAGCTTTCTACTTAGGACAGAGTAGAGGGTTTATTTGTTTTGAAATTTCTTTCTTATCCCTATTATTAAAAGTAGAGAAGACCTCAAAAGTGTATGTGTATCAAAAGGTTCTAGAGAAGATGTAGGGCTAGTTGAATAGTTCTAAGCGTCTCTTGCTCTTTCTCTTTGTGAAAGTTGGAAATGAAGTAGGTAAGGGCCTCTCCCTTCCCAAAGAATAGCCGATAGCAACTTGCCTCTTCTGCAGAACTTCTTCACCTCAAAACTTCTGGGTTATACAGCACTGAGATAACAATGTTTTATCTTTTACCCATTCATAGAGGGTGAAAGAGAGCAGGGGCCGGGCGCGGTGGCTCAAGCCTGTAATCCCAGCACTTTGGGAAGCCGAGGCGGGTGGATAACGAGGTCAAGAGATCGAGACCATCCTGGTGAACATGGTGAAACCTCGTCTCTACTAAAAATACAAAAAATTAGCTGGGCATGGTGGCGCACGCCTGTAATCCCAGCTACTCAGGAGGCTGAGGCAGGAGAATTGCCTGAATTCAGGAGGCAGAGGTTGCGGTAAGCCAAGATCGAGCCATTGCACTACAGCCTGGGTAACAAGAGCTAAACTCCGTCTCAAAAAAAAAAAAAAAGAGAGCAGGCTCTAAGCAGTCTCCTTTCAAACTGATTTTTTAAAAAACTACCTCTGGCCAGGCATGGTGATTCACGCCTATAATCCCAGTATTTTGGGAGGCCAAAGTGGGTGGATCACCTGATTTCAGGAGTTAGAGACCAGCCTGGCCAACATGGTAAAACCTCATCTCTACTAAAAATATGAAAATTAGCCAGGTGTAGTGGTGCGTGTCTGTACTCGCAGCTACTTAGGAGGCTGAGGAAAGAGAATTGCTTGAACCTGAGACGTGGAGGTTGCCGAGATCATGCCACTGCACTCCAGCCTGGGTGAAAGAGTGAGATTCTGATTCAAAAAAACAAACAACAATAACAAAAAACTACCTTTGTTTCTAACTTCTAATTGGTTATAGATTATAATGTCCAGCGCTACATTTTCAGTATTTTAAATATACTATTACTATGGAAAACATTGTAATCATTAAAATTGCATTACTAGAATATTTAATCTGTCAGAAAACTGGGTTTGGGAAACAATTTAGGCATGTAGGCTATGAAATATGGCAAAGACTATGGAGCATAAAGGTGAAAGTAAAATACAAATCAGAAAGACAGGATAAAAGTGAGGTTTGGTAATTTAAATACTGACTAAATTGTAAATAGGTGTGCTTATTGGATTCATATGTTTTATTTTCATGTTCAAAAACATTTATTAGGAACTGATGTGATTGTGAATGTAATTCCCCTATTTATTATTAAATAACATCTAGTTAATTTTGTTAAGAGTTTCTATAATCACTAAAAAATCAAAGGAATATTCTTCCAACTGGTTACTTTGTAAGAATTAGTAGGCACTGGATCATCTGGCATGTGTATTATACTTCTGAAAATGAAATGACTGATCAGATATCATATTCTGAAAATAAGTAAATTCCATGATTCACATTTGATCAATATGAATTTTAACCATTAAAGTGGGAGTTGACCAAACTTTCTGCTGCCAAAACACTGTGCTTCAGAGAGAGAGAGAGAGGAAAAAAAGATACTACTGCATTTAAGAAACTCAGTTCAGGGGGAAATCAACAAAGGTAATTAAAATACTTAAAAATCTGCACTATGATAGAGGTAGGTAAATTGTGAGGTTTCTCTAAGATAACTAGATCAGCTGTTAGCTGCTTCAGAAAATCTTATTGAAGAGTGGTTAAGAGACAATAAAGTTTCTAAATATGAGAAATGACTAAATAAAAAAGAAACCTAGGAAAGTGTGTTAGCAAGGGTGTGACTATAAAAGAATGCCTCTTGCTGAATCTAAAACACACTAATCAATAATGGACCCATAAACATGACTGGTGGGCAGTCCCTCTCCCAAAACCATGGGAGGGGCAAATTACTGAGACAAGACTTGAGCACAAAAAGACAGAAATAACCTTTGAAAAAAAGGCAAGCCACAAAGGAAGCAAGAGACATTTGCATGAACTGTAACAACTAATAGAAGAGAGAAGGTGCTGAACTGGAGCAAACTGAAAATTAAAAAATTAAATCGAATCCAACAGGTTAGAACTGCATTTCAGTATATTCTGGGACCTCAAATGCAAAATACTGGACAGGCAACAAACAAACTGTGAGACTTAAATCATTTTTGCTTCAGAGCTTATCTTTTTTAATGAAAGTATTTATAACTTTTCTTGTCACATAAAGAAAGCAATGGAATTTCTATTTTAAAATAATGGAATATAAGATTCCATAGATATACTTCTAAGTGGAAAAAATCTGTAATCCTCGGCTACTTTTAAATAAAGATTTTAATATAGAAAGAGTATACAAACAAATTTGGCAACTATTGTGGGACTAAACATTAAAGCTGTGAATCCAAGTATAGGGGTACCTTTAAATTTAAGATGACAGATAACTAAGAATGATAGCACATAGAATCCTTAAGTAATACCTATTCTATCTGAATTCACCACAGAAGGCAACACCAAGAGCACCTCAAATGCTTTGGGTAGAAAATATACACTGTGACTCAAAAAGTACTCAATATTTCCCAAATTTATCTAACCACAGAAATGCTTAAAAAAAAAAACAAAACCCAGCTTGTAAGATAGGCAATAAACTTTGAGTAATAATAGATGGGTAATACTTGCATCTCATTAGTACTATCTATTTAATGCATCTATTTGTCTAGCTAAATTTGTGTATTTTCAAAGACTGAAAGTGTGCCATGTGTATTTTTCCTCCTACCATCTTCTAAGTGCCAGATAATATGCTAAAAACTTTGTATTATCTGAAATTTTACATTATACTGATCATACAAGTATACGAACTATTATTCTCATTTTATAGACTGGAAGTTTGAAGCCAAGAGAGGTGGGGTATTGTTCAAGTTCACTCAGCCAATAAGTTGTTGAAGTGAGATACAAACTTGAATCTGTTAAATTGGTAGGGGATGGATCACCTGGTATATACTAGGCACTTGATATATATTTAAAAACTAATTATTTTCTTTGCTACCAACAATATTCATACCCAGAGTGATTTTAATATCTTCAACCCTGTGACTACATGGTATATTGAACCCCAAAGCTATTTTTAAATGTTTTTATAACTGAAAAATGCATCTGCAGTTATGAAAAGAATAGTTTCAGTTTTCTTTTAAAAATAGACTTCTGTAAAATGCCAGTTTTATTTTAGTGAACTAAAGCTTGGCTTTAAGTTAGGCTGCATGAAAAAGTCACCCCTGAAACAGTTCTTTATCATAAATTATCTAGACGTTGAGTCATTTTCTGTTGCTCTGTTACCTCTGACAATCTGTACTGGTCAATCATTTCAGAAAGTGAGCTATGTTTTCAGTATTTTCTTTTCAGTCTACTTGAAATAAATGACAAACTATATCATAACTCAATGACCATATCCATCCATGCCATATTTTTTCAGGAAAATCAGTTAACATACTTAAACTCATATATATGCATGTTATTTTTTATAATTATATACACACAATTATGATAACTGCTGCTTTGAGGGTTTAATAATATAACTATCATTGGCTCCCTCTGTAGGCTTGGCTCCCATAAATATCTTCTTAAGTGGATAAAATTGTATATTTGACATATCAGATTCCTGTGTTACGTCCTTTGCTTTGAAAGTACATCTGGTTATTGGAGTGCTGGAAATGTATGGGAAAAAAATTGAAAAGATAAAAGAAACATACTAGGAAATTTAAAAAAAAATCACCTGAATTTCAATTCAACTATACTTTAGTAAGGTTCTTAATCATCAATCCCCTCACCAAAATTTTCTTACCTGAAACTTCTCTGCAAAGCAATCACAGCAGATGGAAGCTTCTTTAATCTCTTTCTTGTCTGAAAACCCTTCCAATAGGCTTGAATCAAGCATGCTGCTTGATGTAGTTTCTGAAATTAAAAATAATTTAGAGATATATCTAGGAAGGTCTTCTTTTTTTTAAGTCTACCTCTTAAAGTATCAGGTCAAGGCAAGTATTAATCTCCAGCTCTAACAAGATGGGTAAGAATATTAAACCTTACCTCCCAAAGGAGGTATGTTAGGCTTAGTAAGGCTATTTCTAGAACATATTAAAGATATACTCTAGTTAGCTCCAAATTCTCCCTGAATAATCTCACTTCCATTTCCTTTTCAAAGATTTCACAGTTCTGCCTGACCTTTCATTATCCTTTTTGAGATAACATGTTAATGTTTTTATTTAATAGGCAGTCAACCTAGTTAGGTTCAAACTATAAGCTCTGTTGATCCTTGTAGATGGCTGCTCGAATCTCTGCTTAGTTCTGTAAGCCTTCGGAATGCTAGCCTCCTGATAGACCACTGGGCTTAAAAGGACAACAAACTGTCTAAGTTCTACACTGAATTCTGTCCCAGTTTCCTGTTTACTTAGTAGACCTCTGAGTCCTGAAATGGAATAGCAAAGGGTACAACTATTAATAATAAAATGTAATTTTGTGATTTTGTTACCTAATCAATATGAATTTGAGCACATGTATAATTTTGAGATTAACCTAAATTCTTGCTGGTTCATGTATACATGAAAAAAGAAATTCCCTTCTTCTGTACTCTTCCTTCCAGGCTCTCCAATTCACTGTCCTGCCTTACCAGACTTCTTTTCATGGTTTCTGCTTGTATTTTTAAATTTATTGCCCTTTTGGTTTTGGATATACAATGTCACCCTTTCCTTTTAAATTAAAAAATATCTTTAGTCATTTTAGATGTTTTCCATATTTGAGTCTTTATCTGGAAATCAGAAAGATATATGCCTCTTCCTATTGGACTGGGCTATTTAGATCCATCATTCTGACTATACTAGAGGAAGTATGATAAAATAATCAATAACTTGCTGCCTCAATTTTCTAAATATTTTTTATTAGTAGTATTTCTTACAAAAAGGAAAGGTATTATTGTTGTGTCTCAAAGAACAAGAAGGGTAGCCATAGGTGATCATAAATATAGTTTGCTACAATTAGAGATTTTTTGGAAAAGGAAATTTAAAAGTTTAAATAGCTTATAGATAAAAGAAGATAAACATCAGAGATGGGGCTTTCATGAGAAATGCTGAATGAAACTGATGTGGCAGTATCTATAAGCAGATGTAAATGGGAGACTGAAATTACGTTTTAGGGTAGGCTGAATAGCAGAGAGATACAATTTTGTAAAATTATAGTTTAAAGATGGGGTTTTGCTATGTTGACCTGGCTGGGGTGCAGTGGCTATTCATGGGTGTGATCATAGGGGAGTCTCCAATTCCTGGACTCAAGAAATCCTCTTGCCTCAACTGCCTGAGTAAAAATTTTGAAGATATTTCTATTTTGGGGGTATTTTGCTTGAAGTCTTACGAGAAAGTAAGTGAGGAATATTTAAGAAAAACTAAGGCTTATATCATTAAGTCAGCAAATATCATGCAAGTTTTCTTTTGGTAACTTAATACCTGCTCTTCTACTTCCTGATAGACTGTTGGGCTTAAAAGGCTTACGAGCTGTCTAAGTTCTTCACTGAATTCCGTCCCAGCTTCCTGTTTACTTAGTAGACGTCTGAGTCCTGAAATGGAATAGAAAAGGGTATGATTATTATTTTGTTATCTAATCAGTATTAATTTGAGGCTAAAAAGTCTGGCTTAAAAACAAATGAAGACAAGATTAATACAAGTAAACTCAATAAATATTTATAGAGTTCTCCATTTTAAATACACAAAATATTGATTGGCCATTATTAATACCTATTTTTAGAATGAAGCAATATTCCTGTTCTCTCTCCCTCTTTTTCTTCTTCTTTCTTCCTCCCCTTCTCTCCTTTTTTTACTTTTCAACATCCTAGTTCCTCACCTCTACTCAATACATTCCTCTGAACACCTGATTCCTTGTGATTCTCCCGTCCCACTGAAACCTTCAATCGGAGAGAGGACTCAAGATGGCGCTGTGAGAACAACCCAGGATTGGAGCTCTCGTTGAATCCACAAAGAGGTGAGTTGGAGTTGCATTTCCAGACAGATCTTTGTTGCCCACAGAACGGGGAAACTCCCAAGTGTAAGGGAGACACGGGACGCCAGGTAGTAAGTCTGCCTGGCGAAGCCGGCAGCCGGGGCGGCAGCGGCCGGCCCTACCCAGCAATCCCCACAGGGCGCGCTTGTCCGGGTGCCCTGTTGAACCGGCAACCTGAGACTTGAGAGGGCTGGACTTGAGACTGAACGAGACTTGGACAGTAGGCCAACCCAGGGGATTGCAGGGACAGAGCCTTCGGGGTACCCGGTGGGACGAACAAAACCGCAATTTCAAACTATCCCAAGCAGACGGTCCGAGATGCTCTGTGGGGGAGGGGCGTCCACCACTACCGAGGCAACCCGTCCCTACTGAGATACACGCCCACTGCTGACGCAGCCTCCCGTTGCCGAGGCAACCTGTCCCTACTGAGATACACGCCCACTGCTGACGCAGCCTGCCGTTGCCGAGGCAACACACTACAAGGAAGAGACTCCGCTGCAGGGCGTAGCGGAGACCACAGCAGAGCCTGCAGGAACAGGGCGAATCACACAACAGCAGGGCGGAGACTCGGCAGGCAAACAGTGGCTAGTCTGCCTCCTAGCTGGGCAGGACACCTCAACGGACATCGAAAAATAAAGCCCGAACCCCTCAACACAGAGCATTTGAGAAAAAAAGGGTTTTTTTAATGAGCTCTGTTGCAGCAGAATCAAACATAGCAGCCTAACAGCCCTGAATGAACAACAGAGCTCACAGCTCAGAAATTGAGCTCCTAAAAAGAACAGACTGTCTCCTCAAGCAGTTCCCTGACCCCTCTATATCCAAAAGACTGACATTTGGCAGGCATCATCCTGGGACAAAGATAGCAGAAAAAGAGTAGCATCCCTCACTGTGCCACAGCTGCTAGAGGTGCACCCCAGACAAGCAGGGCCTAGAGTGGACCTCAGCAGTCATACAGCGAAGGGGCTAGGCTGGTAGAAGGAAAACCAAGTAACAGAAATACTTCATCATCAACAATCTGGGTGTCCACTCAGAGACCCAATCGAAAAGTCAGCAACTACGCAGACGACAAGCGGATAAACCCACAAAGATGGGAAGAAACCAGCGAAAAAAGGAGGAAAACACCCGAAACCAGAACACCACGCCTCCTAGAAAGGACCAAAACTCCTCACCAGCAAGGGAACAAAGCTGGACGGAGAATGACTGTGATGAAATGACGGAATTAGACTTCAGAAGGTGGATAATAAGAAACTTTTGTGAGCTAAAAGAACATGTATTAAATCAATGCAAAGAAACTAAGGAACTTGAAAAAAGATATGAGGAAATGATAACAAGAATGGATAACTTAGAGAGGAATATGAATGAATTAAAGGAGCTGAAAAACACAAAAGAGAACTTTGCGAAGCATGCACAAGTTTCAATAGCCGAATTGACCAAGCAGAAGAAAGAATATCTGAAGTCGAAGACCAACTCAATGAAATAAAACGAGAAACCAAGATTAGAGAAAAAAGCGCAAAAAGGAATGAACAAAGTCTCCAAGAAATGTGGGACTATGTGAAAAGACCTAACCTATGTTTGATAGGTGTACCAGAAGGGGACGAAGAGAATGAATCCAAGCTGGAAATTACTCTTCAGGACATCATCCAGGAAAACTTCCCCCACCTAGCAAGACAGGCCAACACTCAAATGCAGGAAATACAGAGAACACCACAAAGATATTCCGCAAGAAGAGCAACCCCAAGGCACATAATCGTCAGATTCAACAAGGTTGAAATAAAGGAGAAAATACTAAGGGCAGCCAGAGAGAAAGGTCGAGTTACCCACAAAGGGAAGCCCATCAGACTCACAGCAGATCTCTTGGCAGAAACACTACAAGCCAGAAAAGAGTGGGGTCCAATATTCAACATCCTTAAAGAAAAGAACTTTCAACCCAGAATTTCATATCCAGCCAAACTGAGCTTCAGAAGTGAAGGAAAAATAAAATCCTTTGCGAACAAGCAAGTACTCAGAGATTTTGTCACCACCAGGCCTGCTTTACAAGAGCTCCTAAAAGAGGCACTACACATAGAAAGGAACAACCAGTACCAGCCATTCCAAAATCACACTGAATGCTAAAGAGCATCAGCATAATGAAGAATCTACAACAACTAACAGGCAAAACAGCCACTTAGCATCAAAACGGCAGTATCAAATTCACACATAACAATCTTAACCCTAAATGTAAATGGACTAAATGCACCAATCAAAAGACACAGACTGGCAAATTGGATAAAAATCCAAAACCCATCAGTGTGCTGTATCCAGGAAACCCATTTCACATGCAAGGATACACAAAGGCTCAAAATAAAGGGATGGAGGAAGATTTACCAAGAAAATGGAGAGCAAAAGAAAGCAGAAGTTGCAATTCTCATCTCTGATAAAATAGACTTTAAAGCAACAAAGATCAAAAGAGACAAAGAAGGCCATTACATAATGGTAAAAGGATCGATAAAACAAGAAGAGCTAATGATCCTAAACATATATGGACCCAATGCAGGAGCACCCAGATACATAACGCAAGTTCTTAATGACTTACAAAGAGACTTAGACTCCCACACAATAATAGTGGGAGACTTTAACACTCCACTGTCAATATTAGACAGATCAACCAGACAGAAAATCAACAAGGATATCCAGGGCTTGAACTCAGACCTGGAGCAAGCAAACCTGATAGACATTTACAGAACTCTCCACCCCAAATCCACAGAATATACATTCTTCTCAGCACAACATCACACCTACTCAAAAATTGACTACATAATTGGAAGTAAAGCACTGCTCAACAAATGCAAAACAACTGAAATCATAACAAACAGCCTCTCAGACCATAGTGCAATCAAGTTAGAACTCAGAATACAGAAACCGACCCAGAACCGCACAGCTTCATGGAAACTGAACAACTGGCTCTTGAATGTTGACTGGGTAAACAATGAAATGAAGTCAGAAATAAAGAAGTTCTTCGAAACCAATGAGAACGAAGACACAACATGCCAGAACCTCTGGGACACATTTAAAGCAGTCTTTAGAGGAAAGTATATAGCAATAAGTGCCCATATGAGGAGAATGGAGAGATCCAAAATTGACACCCTATCGTCAAAATTGAAAGAGCTAGAGGAGCAAGATCAAAAAAACTCAAAACCCAGCAGAAGACAAGAAATAACTAAGATCAGAGCTGAATTGAAGGAGATTGAGACACGAAAAACCCTACAAAAAATCAATAAATCCAAGAGCTGGTTTTTTTAAAAGATCAACAAAATAGACAGACCACTAGCCAGATTGATTAAAAAGAAAAGAGAGAACAACCAAATAGATGCAATAAAAAATGATAAAGGGGAAATCACCACAGATTCCACAGAAATTCAAACCATCATCAGAGAATATTACAAACAACTCTATGCACATAAACTAGTAAACCTGGAAGAAATGGATAAATTCCTGGACTCCTGCATCCTCCCAAGCCTAAACCAGGAGGAAGCCGAAACTATGAATAGACCAATAACAAGGTCAGAAGTCGAGGCAGCAATTAAGAGCCTACCACACAAAAAAAGCCCAGGTCCAGACGGGTTCACAGCCGAATTCTACCAGACACACAAAGAGGAGCTGGTACCATTCCTTCTAAAACTATTTCAAACAATCCAAAAAGAGGGAATACTTCCCAAATCATTTTACGAGACCAACATCATTCTGATACCAAAACCCGGAAGAGACCCAACAAGAAAAGAAAACTTCAGGCCAATATCCATGATGAACATAGATGCAAAAATCTTCAATAAAATATTGGCAAGCCGAATGCAACAGCAAATCAAAAAACTTATTCACCATGATCAAGTAGGATTCATCCCGGGGATGGAAGGCTGGTTCAACATACGCAAGTCTATCAACGTAATTCACCACATAAACAGAACCAAAAACAAAAACCACATGATTATCTAAATTGACGCAGAGAAGGCATTTGACAAAATTCAACAGCCCTTTATGCTAAAAACCCTCAATAAACTCGGTATCGATGGAACGTATCTCAAAGTAATAAAAGCTATTTATGACAAACCAACAGCCAATATCATACTGAATGGACAAAAACTGGAAGCATTCCCTTTGAAATCTGGCACTAGACAAGGATGCCCTCTTTCACCACTCCTATTCAATATAGTACTGGAAGTTCTAGCCAGAGCAATCAGGCAAGAAAAAGAAATAAAGGGTATTCAAATAGGAAAGGAGGAAGCCAAATCGTCTCTATTTGCAGACGACATGATAGTATACCTAGAAGACCCCATCACCTCAGCCCAAAAACTCCTGAAACTGATAAGCAACTTCAGCAAAGTCTCAGGATATAAAATCAATGTGCAAAAATCACAAGCATTCGTCTACACCAATAACAGACTTAAAGAAAGCCAAATCATGAACGAACTGCCATTCGCAATTGCTACAAAAAGAATAAAATATCTTGGAATACAACTCACAACGAACGTAAGGGACCTTTTCAAGGAGAACTACAAACCACTGCTCAATGAAATCAGAGAGGACACAAACAGATGGAGAAACATTCCATGTTCATGGTTAGGAAGAATTAACATCGTGAAAATGGCTATACTGCCCAAAGTAATTTACAGAATCAACGCTATCCCCATCAAGCTACCATTGACTTTCTTCACAGAACTGGAAAAAACCACCATGAACTTCATATGGAACCAAAAGAGAGCCCACATAGCCAAGTCAATTCTAAGAAAAAAGAACACAGCAGGGGGCATCACACTACCGGATTTCAAACTATACTACAAGGCTACAGTAATCAAAACAGCATGGTACTGGTACCAAAACAGAGATATAGACCAATGGAACAAAACAGAGGCACTAGAGGCAACACAACATATATACAACTATACAATCTTTGATAAACCTGACAAAAACAAGCAAGGGGGAAAGGATTCCCTGTTTAACAAATGGTGTTGGGAAAACTGGCTAGCCATGTGCAGAAAGCAGAAACTGGACCCCTTCCTGACACCTTACACTAAAATTAACTCCAGATGGATTAAAGACTTAAACATAAGACCTGGCACCATAAAAACCCTAGAAGGAAATCTAGGCAAAACTATCCAGGACATAGGAGTAGGCAAGGACTTCATGAACAAAACACCAAAAGCATTGGCAACAAAAGCCAAAATAGACAAATGGGACCTAATGAAACTCCACAGCTTCTGCACGGCAAAAGAAACAGTCACTAGAGTGGATCGGCAACCAACAGAATGGGAAAAAATTTTTGCAGTTTACCCATCTGACAAAGGGCTGATATCCAGAATTTACAAAGAACTCAAACGGATTTACAGGAAAAAAACAAACAAGCCCATTCAAAAGTGGGCAAAGGATATGAACAGATACTTTACGAAAGAAGACATATATGAGGCCAACAATCATATGAAAAAATGCTCATCGTCACTGGTCATCAGAGAGATGCAAATCAAAACCACATTGAGATACCATCTCACGCCAGTTAGAATGGCGATCATTAAAAAATCTGGAGACAACAGATGCTGGAGAGGATGTGGAGAAAAAGGAACACTTTTACACTGTTGTGGGAGTGTAAATTACTTCCACCATTGTGGAAGACAGTGTGATGATTCCTCAAGGCCTTAGAAATAGAAATTCCATTTGACCCAGCAATCCCATTACTGGGTATATATCCAAAGGACTATAAATCGTTCTACTATAAGGACACATGTACACGAATGTTCATTGCAGCACTGTTTACAATAGCAAAGACCTGGAATCAACCCAAATGCCCATTGATAATAGACTGGATTGGAAAAATGTGGCACATATACACCATGGAATATTATGCAGCAATCAGAAATGATGAGTTTGTGTCGTTTGTAGGGACATGGATGAATCTGGAGAACGTCATCCTCAGCAAACTGACACAAGAACAGAAAATGAAACACCGCATATTCTCACTCATAGGCGGGTGATGAAAAATGAGAACACATGGACACAGAAAGGGGAGTACTAAACACTGGGGTCTATTGGGGGGAAAAGGGGAGGGCCAGTGGGAGGGGGATGTGGGGAGGGATAGCCTGGGGAGAAATGCCAAATGTGGGTGAAGGGGAGAAGGAAAGAAAAGCACACTGCCATGTGTGTTCCTACGCAACTGTCTTGCATGCTCTGCTCATGTACCTCAAAACCTAAAATCCAATAAAAAATAAAAAAAATAAAAAAAAAAAAGAAACCTTCAATCCATTAAAAAACAAAAACAAAAACAGAAAATGCACTTGGGGCACATGGAAGCACAGTGCAGTGTTAAAAAAAAAAAAAGAAAAGAAAACAAGATTAATCACATGATTTTTCATTTACCTTTTCTCAGAGACTTCTAGGCTGAGGTCTTTACGATAGCTATCCCTTCTGAGAATTCCTACGTGCTAAACTGTGAGATCTGATTTAAAAAAACTCTGTCTAGACAATCTCTTTAATAAAAAAAAAAAGAGGAGGATAGAATCACTGTGGTAAATAAAAAAGTAGAGATAGTCTTTTTTTTGTTTGAACATAAGTATCTTAAACAGAAACATTGTAAAGATAATTACTATAAACACATATTCAGTAAATGCTTGCCCTGTGGAAGCACTTATGCAGATTATTATTAGTCTATTAATTGAGAAATATTACTATTAAATATAAACATATGGTAACATATATAATTTAGGGCAAATCAATAGGTTCCTGAGAGAACATTATAGGTGAAGTGCTATAACACTAGGATAGAACATTTTCATGACAAAATAATACATAGTAGTAGTAAAAGGTACAAAGTAAGTACTATTTCCAGGTTATGTGGAAATGATGTATTATAATGTATGTATTCAAAATAAATACATAAGGCAAAATTGACTTCTAGTGTATAATTAGGGAAACCACTATATGAATCTTTTAATGTTTTATACTGTCTTCAAGACCCAAGTACTCAGCAGTATTAATAATTCTAAAATATCTTCAGGAACCTGAATAAGTTCTGCTATTTAGATATGTCAAAGAAAGGGAGAAGGATCCAGTCATTATAAAATTCCTTTATAAAGACTCCTTGGACATTCATATTTCTTTAGCGATCCAATTACAGAATTGAAAAATGTCTATCTGGCCCAATATCAACTAAAGAGCTCTATTACTGGTATTTTCTCTCTCTATTCCTATAATACCCCCAGTAATGACTAATGCAAGGTACATTATTACAATGTCTTCAAAATCATCAAGAATGATAAAGACTTTCTAATGGTTTAGGTATTAAATGCATCATAGTATATTATAACCTTTAAAAATTCCCATACAGTATAACCTTATATTAATAAGTATATTTAATGAAATAGAAACCCATTTCCTGACCACACTGAATAAGAAAAATAGATTATAATACATACATGGCTCTGGTCAGCAAAGAAATAAAACAAAGATAACATAAAACTTTGCTTGGCAATTACAAATATATATATACTACTTTGTGATCTTTGGCAAATTACCATGTCTTTGTTTCTGTATCTACAACTAAGAGTATCTATCCCATAAGATTGTTGTAAAAATTAAATATTTTAATGCATATAAAGTATATAGAACAGTGCCTGACACACAGTACATGCTCAATTAAATGGAAGCTATTATATGAGAACAGTAATATGCTGACTCCTTTCATCCTCAAAATTTCTGACTTTTAATTCACATATGTATTTGATTTTGGAGGTAAGACAAATTTTTTCTATTTGTTTTTGAGAAAAGGCAGTGTTGAGTAATTATTGATAGTTCAAAATACCAAAAGGGCTACTGGCCTCTCAAGCACAGCTCCATTTTCTCCACTAAAACTGGTCTTGATAAGGTCACTGATCTTTTTGGTCATTATTTTACTATACTATATGGTATATTCAACACACAACCTTTTCTTCAAAGAGGGAGTAAATATTTATTGCAACCTGATCAACAAAGTACCTACTACATGCCATCTGTATTGACATGAAGACAGCTTGATTATATAAAGACTGTCTTCTGAATTGGTATCTGTTGTGAATTTTATCTACATAGTTCAGTTATTAACTCTTCAAAATATAAGAATTTTATTTTTCATAAACCATCAATAAACATTTTCTTTTTGAAAATCCCAAGAAGAGAAAGAATGAATGCAGTACCTTTGTAGCAGGCACTTTGTCTCAGTAAAATAAAAATTTCCTGATGGGATTCAGCCATCAACAGTAGGAGTTTTGTAGCAGTACTTCTTACGAGTGGACTAGAAGTTGAAAAAAGCTTGAAAATAACTTCATCTAAAATGGAATGCAGGGCTCTTTCTCCTATTCTGAGTAAATCACCACTAATAGAACAAAATTTAAAAAGTACCATTACTAATTGATGCACAGGTATCACAACAAATTTAAAATAAAAGATTCAGTAACTTAATGCTGGACTGTGTCCTGATCCAAGAATATAACCATTTTTTAAAATATATAGGTTGATTCCAAGAATATATCATATTCAGTCACTTAATATTTACTGAATTTCTACTATGTGCAAGGTACCATGTGTGCTAGGTACAACAGAGAATACAAAGTAGCCAAAGGCCCTCTCCTTAGAGAAGCCTTCAATAAAATCAAGGAGGAAAGGTAAATGTGCAAAATATTAAATAATCAATAATTCAAAAGCTTCAAGGCAACAATAAAAGTGAAATCAAGACAAGTACACAGTTAATTGTTAAATGATGTACAAAGACAAAAATGCCATAGGAATTCTATCATGTTCTTAATATAGGAGAAACTGAAATCTTTCCTTGGTATTTCCTTCATTATACTAACAATCTCATCTTGCATTACTGATGTCATGGAAAAGTATTTAAAATATTTTAATTTAAGAATTAGTCAAAAGGACAGGGTTAGTGAGTGTCCTTTCACTTACCCCCTTAAGGAGCATGTGATTTTCTAGGCATATGTACCTCTGTTTTATTTTCTATTCACTATTAAAATATTTTACAATTCTGTAAAAATAGAGGTTGGCTGTGAGAAAACAACGCCAAAGATTCCTATCTAAGAACAATGTAAACAGAATCTTATTCAAAGCAATACAAATGATTTCTGTCCAGTAGACAAAGGTATTTCTAAAGGCTACATTGCTTTACAAGACATTAAAGTCGTATTTTCCTATTAGCAAATTTTTAAAAAATCTATCAGCAAACTGATTTCTATGTTCCTTTGACAAACCAACTCCATAAATCTATTTTCCTCAAATTCTCCTTTGAACCTGTATAGATATCTTATTTGTTCCCTCATTAATTAATGAGATGAATAAAATTTTGAGTAGTTAAAATTTATATCTGTGTAAGACTCATGTTTGAGCTTTTTGAAAATTGTACTTTAGTAATGACTAAAATAATTTTGTTAAGAGAAAAAGTGATCAGCAAGATACCTTAAATGTAAAAATCTTTAGGTTGAAAGACTTTATAAAGTTACCCAATCAAAATATGTGAAACTCTCTGACATCTACTTCTGTGCCACTGTGTCTTTTAAATAGTATTCCCTATGCCTAGGATGCTCACCCTTTCCCATCAGTCAATGTTATCATACCATTCAAAACTCAGATAAAAAATATGCTCATCTCAGAAAGCCTTCCACAGATATCCCTATCCCAATCTGGTCACATCTTTACTCCATATCCCACCAAGAGTTTGTGAGTTTGTGCTATAACGTTCATATGCTAGTTTAAATGCTTTTAGATGCTCTTCAACTTCCTAATCTTAAAGACATCCTCTCTATACCACTACCATCTGATCTCTCTGCTTCTGTTCTAATCCAAAATTCTCTGTCACCACTACCTCACTTCTCATTTCTCAAACCACTGCATCTGGTTTTCATTTTTTTACTATTTCACTATATTATAGTATATAATCAGTATAACCTCCAAATGTCAAGTCACATATATATTATATGTGATTATTTTCCTAGACTTGTTTGTATCTGATACTCTGTACCTATTCAGCTTCTGTAATACAAAGTTCTGGTCTCCCCTCTACCTTCCACCCATACTTTTCTGAGCATTCTTTCTCATTTGTCTTTATGAGACTCACTTCCCCAGTATAACACTGAAAGGTTATTCCCCAAGACTCTGTTTTTGAGCCATTTCTTTTCTCTCTATTCATACTTCATACTGATCTTGTCTTCTATCATGTTTTTCATTACCATGTATAAGCTGATTTGTAAATCTGTAACTCTAATCCAGATCTCTTGCAGAAGTCAGTTTACTTAGTCACCGAATGGACATTTGAGTTATTGCTAGTCCTTGGTTATGACAAATAAACCTCAATGGACATTTGTGTCTAAGTCTTTATATAGATACTTTTACTGACTGTTAAACTACCTATACACAACATAACCAACACTGAATTCATCATCTGTCTCACAAAACCAACTCCTCATATATTCAACATACCATAGTCTGTCTAATCAATATAGAAAGCTTGGTATCATACCTGACTGCACATTTTATTTTATCTACCTCATATCAAAACATTCACCAAGTCCTCATAATTGTTGTTTTTAATAGCTTTTTAAAAAGGTAATTGATATATAACAAACTGCACATATGTAAAGCATATAATTTCATCAGTTTGACATGTTTCACCAACATAAAACAAGAAAATGAATATATCCATCACCCCACAAAGCTTCCTTGTATTTCACTGTAGTTCCTTCCTTGTTGTCTGCCCTATTACTCTATCTCCAGTTAACAACTGATTTGCTTTCTGAGAAACTTCCCTTCTATTACAACTTTGCTGAGAGGCTTTTTTTTTTTAAGATTAAAATCAGGAGTGGATGATAGATTTTGTCAGAAGCTTTTTCTGTATTTACTGTTTCATTTTTTTTTTCATTTTTAGCTTGTTAACATAAGTTACAGTGATTGACTTTAGAATATGAAACCAGCCCTAAATCCCAGGATAAACCAGACTTATTAATGATGTATTAACTTTTTAATATATTGTTGAATTTGACATTAAAATTTTGTTCAGAACATTTGTATCTACGTTTATGAGTATACTGATGAGTAGTTTTCTTTTGTCTTTGCTTTGTTTTGGTATCAGGATAATGGTGACCTCATAGAATGAGCTGAAAAGTATTTCTGCCTTTTTGATTTTCTAGAAAAGTTTGCTTAAGATTTTTATTTCTTCCTGAAGTGCCTAATAGAATTTACTAGTGAAAAAGCTATCCAGACCTGGAGTTCTCTTTGTGGGAGAATTTTTAGCTACAAATTGAAGTTTTCTTTATAGCTATCTAGAGTAAATTTGGGTTATCTATTGCTTCTTGAGTAAATTTTGGTAGTTTGTGTCTTTCAATAAATTTGTCCATTTCATCTAAGTTGTTGAATTTATGAGCATAAAGTTTTTCATATTACTCCTTGTGATATTTTTAGTATCTGTAGACTCTTGTGATGTTACCTCTCTAATTCCTGAGATTGGTCATTTGTATTCTTTGTTTTCCTTTCTGTATTAATCTTCCTACAGGTTTCTTCTCAAAGAACCAGTTTATGGTTTAATTTCTTTTCTCAAAGAACTTCAGTCTTCTCAAAGAACCAGTTTATGGTTTATTTTCTCTATCACTTTTGCTTACTATTTTACTGATTTCTTCTCAACTTTTACCATTTTCTTTCTTCTGCTTAGAGTTTAATTCCCTTTTCCCCCCCTACTTTATTAAAGGGGGAAAGCTGAGGTCAATGATTTGAGATTTTTCTTTGTTTTTAATACATAGACGTTAGTGATGTAAAATTCCCCTAAGTGTTATTCTGATTTCATTAAGAATTTCCCCAGAAATTCCCATGTTGTGTTTTTGTTTCCATTCACTTAAAAATAATAGCTAATTTCACTTTTCATTTTTTCTTTGTCTTATGAGTTATTTGGATGAATGTTATTATTTCCCACATATCTGGGGACTTCATAGAGATCTTCTTGGTATCAATTTCCAACTTAACTCCATCGAGGCCAGAGAACCTGCTTTGTATAACTGAAATGCTTTTACGTTTCTTCTTTCTCTTTTTTGAGACACAATCTCACTCTGTCACCCAGGCTGGGTTGCAGTGACATGATCTCAACTCACTTCAATCTCTGCCTCCTGGGCTCAAGTGATTCTCCCACCTCAGCATCCCAAGTAGCTGGGACTAGAGGCACGTGCCAACATGCCTGGCTAATTTTTGTACTTTTTGTAGAGCTGGGGTTTTGCCATGTTGCCTAAATTGGTCTCAAACTCCTGGACTTAAGCAATCTGCTCACCTCGGCCTCCCAAACTGCTGAGATTACAGGAGTGAGTCACTGTGCCCGGCCTCCTTTATGTTTCTTGGGACTTTAATTATGGCCCGTATTATGTATCCTTCTCTGTAAATGTTCATCGGCATTTGAAAAGATGTATTCTGCTACTGTTTGGTAGAATGTTTTTAAAATGTCAATTAGGTCAAATTGGTTGATATTACTGTTCAAATCTTCTGTGGACATACTAATTTTTTGTCTACTTACTCTATTAATTATCAAAAGAGGTATATTAACATCTTTTGCTCTAATTGAAGATTTATTTCTCCTTGCAGTTCTTGTCAATTTTTGTTAGTATACTTTAAAACTTTATTAGGTCAATAAACAAGTCCTCTTGATGAACTGACGTTCTTATGATTATGAAATAACCTTCTTTAGCACTAGTAATATTCTTTGTTCTGTAACTTAATCTGATACTAATACAGGTACTTCAACTTTCTGTAGTATACGCATGGTGTATCTTGTTCCACCCCATTACTTTTAACCTATTTGTTTCTTTATATTTAAGGTGCATTTCTGGTAGACAACATGTAGTAGGCTTGTACTTTTTATATCCAATCTGTCAATTTGTCTTTTAACTTTAGTTTTTCAACATTTATATCTAATATAGATAGGTTCAAATCTACCACTTGGCTTTGTTTCTCTTTTGTTCTTTTTTTTACTGTCTTCTTCTGGATTGTGTAGTTTTTAATGATTCATTTTTATTGCCTTTGTTGGCTTATCATCTGTAAATTCTTTGTTTTGCTATTTTCTTCATTGCTTTGAGGCTCAAAGTATGTATCAATGTATCACAGTCTCATCACTCATCACAATAATATTATACCACATCATGTATAGTATAAGAGCCTCACATCAGTATGCTTCCATTTATCTCCTCCCAGCCTTCATGCCTTTGTTGGAACACATCTACTTCTGCATGTTTCTCAAATACATTGTTATTTTTGTGTAGGCAAATATAGATATATTAAAATAATATAAGAAAAACAATCTTATATGTTTATGTAATCACCATTTCTGATATTCTTTATTTCTTTGTGTAGATGAATTTCCTTCTGGCAGAAGGACATCCTTAAATATTTCTTGTAGTGTCAGTCTGCTGGTGATTTCTGATGAAGTGTTTCATCTTTGCTTTTGAATACTTTTCTGCTGAGTATAAAATTCTAGTTTGACAGTTTTCTTTTTTAGTATTCAACTGTCTTTTTACTTGTGTTCCTTCTGATAAGAAGGTCGCAGTCATCCTTATCTCTATTTCTCTATATAATGTTTTTTCATCTCTGGTTTCTTTTAAGATTTTCTCTTTATCACTGGTTTGAGCATTTTGGTTATGATGGGCCTCCATGTGGAATTTTCTTCATATTTATTGTCCTTGGGGTTTGATGACCGTTTTGAATCTATAAGTTTACAGTTTTCATCAAGTTTGGTAATGTTCAGCTTCAAACTTTTTTTCTGACCCTACTGCCTACTTTACATACTCTGATTACACCTATTTAAGGTTGCTCAAAGTTGTCCCACAGTTCACTAATATGCTTTTCTTTCCTTTTCTTGTTTCTTTTTTGTTTCATTTTGGATAGTTTCTACTAATAGGCTTTAAAGTTCACTAATCTGCAGTGTTAATCTGCTGTTAATCCCATCCAGTGTATTTTTCATCTCCAATATTGTAGATTTCATCTCTAGAAGTCTTATATATCTCTGTTCAACTTTTTGAACATATGGAATATGGTTATAACTGGTATCCTTGTCTGTCAATTCCAACATATGTATCAGTCTTGATTAACTAATTCTTATTTTAGATCCTGTTTTCTTATTTATTTGCATGCCCAGTACTTCTTTGCATGCAAGATACTGTGAATTTTATCTTGTTGTGGCTGATCAGAAAAAAAAAAAAAAAATCAGTGCCAGTAAAATGAAATCACCTGTTGAATTGTAGTATATTCTGTAGCACAGTCATAACTGTAGAATCTATCAGTTTGAAGTAACTCCAAGAAATGGTAATTTTGTAGTAATAAAGAAAAAGAAAAAACAAGTCATCAAAGCAAATATTCTGTGATGGCACAAGTGAGATTTTTCTCATCCTTTTTAAAGCCAAATGAAAGCATAACCATTTCTAGTGAACTTCCTACCTTTGAATAACCTACAATAAAAAAAGATTTTCAAATAAAAGCAGGTTCAGTAACCATATGCAGTTAAGTTACTTGGAAACAGTTTGACCCTTTTGGGTCTTGCTTTTATGATCTGAAATAGTGCTCATTCTAATGCCAATTATTCTTCACTACTGGGGTAAAACCTTCCTGAACACTCTATCCAATGACCCACTCTTTATGACCCACTGTTTAAGCTTTCCAGTTTGGCTGCTAGAAATAGGCACTATTTCTGGCCCTGTGTGAGCTCCTTGCACTGTTCCTATTAATCCTTTGGGATTATTGTTTTCCCTCACATTGGGTGGTTCCTTACATATATGTGCAGATCAGTACTTTACTTGATACTTGAAGGATACCCTCTGCAGATCTCTGGAGTTCTCTGTGTGTTTAGGTCTCTTCTTTAGTATTCTGTATTGTGAACTCTAGCCATCTTGTTCTCTCCAGGTTCTGAGATCGCTTCAATTCAAGTTGGCTGGGATGCCTCTCCATATACTTTAACCTGCAAACTCTCTCAATACTGATAGGGCAATTCTAAGATTCACCTTGTTTATTCCTTTTTCTCTGGGCTTACTTTCTTTCACTGACTGATGTCCAGTTTCTCAAAAAATTATGTTTCATGTTTTTGTCCTTTTTTTCAGGTGGGAGAATAAATCCATCCCTACTATTCCATCTTGATCAGAAGTGGAAGTAAAGTCCTGATAATTATATATAATTCATTATTTTAAAAACTTCATTTCCCAGGTACCAATGCCCAAGGCCAAGATTTCATTACTTCACTTGGATTAGTACGATTGCCTTTTTTGTCTAGAGTTTTCTTCCCCTAATCTTTCCTTCATATAATCACCAGAGTGACAAAACTGAAATGTAATCTGACTACTTTCATCTACTTTAAAAATCTTCAATGGTCCCATGGCCTATAGGATAAGACTTCGTTTGCTTAACACAGCATATAAATTCATGACTTTGAATCTCAACTGAGCTTGCTAGCCACCTCCCTATATGGAACTTTAAATCCTAACAATGAATTTGTACCTACTTTTCATCCTCAGCATATTGTTTCTTATCTCTGTGCTTTTGCTTATATTGCCTGGAAATACTGCTTTCTCTTACTCCTTTTCCTTCCTGGCCAATATATCATCTTTGAAGTTTCATCTCAGATATTACCTTCTCCAGGAAGCATCTCCCCTCAGTTTGGGATAGAAGGTCCTTTAACACTTATGCTCACCTTTAACATTGTAACTTAATGTATTATGATATAATGATGTTTGTGTGTCTGTCTTTTCCATTCTATTGTAAGCTCTTGGAAGACAAGGTTTTTAACTTAATCAGCTCTATAACTGCAATGACAGACATAGCAGCTGCATAATAAATTCACAGTAAACTAAAAGAATGAATTATTTCAATTGTGCCTACTCTGCCCTTCCATTTTAATCTGAATAATTGTCAGTTGCTTCTTTTACACCCTTCTTGACCATCTATAAAAGTACAAAGCTTGAAGCTTATTAAATAAATGTGATTAAACATTTTTTGTTGTGATCTCAATATTTTTCTTTAGATATGCACTAATTCTCTTTTTTAAGGCTGAGATTTGACCTAAAACCTTCTTAAGCTCTTGGATAAGGTATCAATTTGATAATAAATTTCCAGTCTTTTGTAGTATTTTATATTAATTTTTTTCTGAAAGACAATGGTGATGGAGTTTAAGCATTATATACAAATCACACGCAATCAATTTTAGCAAAATTGTAATAAAATTGGTAATGCTTCTGATAAAAAAAAATCAAAAAATCAGTAACATTTTATAAATCCATGTCACCTGTTGATCTGTAGTATATTCTGTAGCATCATCAAGACTGCAGATCCTATTTGGACATTGTCAGCTTGCAGTAAGTGTAAGAAATGATCACTGTGTAGTACTAAAGAAAAAAAAAAAAAGATTAACGCAAAAATTTTATGGTAACAAAGGAAGATTTTGTTCTTTTCAAACCAAATCAAAGCAGACCATTTCTGCTAAACTTTCTGACTTTGTATTCTCTATAATGAAGGAGATTTTAAAATGTAAAATTTGTGGTAATTTTAAATAGACATAAATAAGTCATTTCATTTTTATGATTATAGTCAGAGAACAGGCATAAATACTAAGCTAAAAGTCTATTGTTATCCCTCTTTAAATTGAAAATAACATATCCTAAATCTGAATCTTTTTTCCTATCAATGAATTTCAGTGAATAAAAACAAATTTCTTGCAAAGACAGACTATAAGGGGATGGAAATGGCACAGATGACTATAATTGTTTGCTTATATCCTTAAAAATTTTAATTTTGTGACACATTGTTTTATATGATAATGAATACATTAACTACAAAAATTTCCTTTCATTGATTCGTAATCTTTAAGCTCTAAGCAGTCAGTTATAATGATTTAGAATTGGATACTTATACAAGTTGCTTAACCTCAGAAACTATTTCTTCATTTCTTCATTCGTAAAACTAGAAATAATAGCTCTCACATGAGCTATTGTAAAATGTCCTAGAACAGGGAATGTTTCCTTTTTTTTGAGACAGAGTTTCGCTCTTATTACTCAGGCTGGAGAGCAATGGCACGATCTCGGCTCACTGCAACCTCTGCCTCCCGGGTTCAAGCAATTCTCCTACCTCAGCTTCCTGAGCAGCTGGGACTACAGGCTGCGCCACCATGCCCAGCTAATTTTTTTGTATTTTTAGTAGAGATGGGGTTTCACTGTGTTGACCAGGATGGTCTCGATCTCTTGACCTCGTGATCCACCCGCCTCGGCCTCCCAAAGTGCTGGGATTATAGGCGTGAGCCACCGCGCCTGGCAAACAGGGAATGTTTCTAATAAATGTCAGTTTCATTCCGTTGTATGCTCAATAACTGAGCATAACTATCAAAGGTGTTAGTTATACTAACTGAAAGTAGTTGCCTTTGGAAAATGGGAAATGGAGTGGGCCTGAGGGCCAGGGATTGTCTGTGTGTTTTAATGATCCTTACGGGACTACTTGACTCTCTAAATTATGTGCATGCATGATACTAAGGAGAAATGCTACAAGTAAAATTTCAGTTCAAGTATTACTTTAAAAAATTCTTATAGTGTTGCATCTATATTGGATGAAATTTTTCAAGAGAGTAGAAAGAGTGCCATGAATGTCACTAAGAATTATTTTCTCAGTCTTAAGAAAACACAATACAAAACTTATACATGTTTGTGTTTCTCAATGTAAACAAAAATATCCTTTGACTTCCAAGTTCGCTAAAAGGTCATTAAATAAAAGCTTACACTTACTTGGATAATTAGGCTATATGAGTTAAATCATATCCACCCTGAATATAGGGATTTCTCTCACAGTAGGTCTAAAACACTGCAATCTTTTAAATTTAAAAGTTATTTTCAGGAATAAACTATTCAAATTATAATTTATCTTTATCTTAGATTTGCTAAACAGAAAAAGCTATTGTTGATGTTGGCTGTGTAAAACTGTAGTATCCATTAAAAAAATTGTAAGCTTATTTCAACATGATTTCATTTCAGTGTGGTTATCTATATAGTCAATGTGGCATTTATTTTTAGAAAAAAAGATCAAACCCTTAGCAGTTGACTCTACAATAGCTATGAGTTACATTAAAATCTTTTCTCTTACCATTCTGAATAAGTCCAACATGGCCTCCCACAAGCCAGAAGAGAGAATCAGTCACAATATGGAAAAAGTGTAGTAATTCATCTTTTTCTTCAGCCTTAACATAAAAGATAAGCCCAGTTTACTTTTCTATCATTTTTTTTTAAGAAGACTTCTCCCTGGGGAGTTAGAGGATACAGTTTCTGGATCTAACTTAGCTATTTATGAGGAACATGATTTTGTTGCCTTTAGTTTCTTAATTGTAAAACTTACGGTTATAGGATAGTAATATCTACTAGAAATGGTTGTTATCCAGATAAAATAAAACAATGTAAGTAGTATAAGAACTACAAGTTGATACAATAGGATTTCTTAATACTTGCTATGCATCAGAATCACCTGTTGAGCTTTTTATGGACAAGCTTCAGTTCAAATGTACTGAATTTGAATCTCCAAAGGCAAAGGCTGGATATCTGTATTTGCACAAAGTTAGGTGGGTGATTTGGTTATGCAACCAGGATGAAAACAACTGCAATATTCAAATGTAGATGTCAGCATGAGAGGCATTATTGATAGCGTATTTCAGTTCCAGTTTCTACCCAGAAGTTTAGGAGGGCAGAGATCTTGTCATTTAGCTCCCCACTATAAACTTGGTTTCTAGGACAGTTCTGACACATAGTAAATGTTCAATCAACATTAAGTCAACAAATAAATGACAATTTTTTTCTGGTTCTTCCTTTCTGAAAAGTAGGGTGAGAAATTATTATAAATTAGAGCCACAAGGAGAAATAAGAAGTATAGATTCCATTCACAATTTTGTCATTTATTGGCCATGTAATGTTAGTAGAATGTTAGTTAAAGGTCACCACTAATCTTATCCACATCCTGAATGTTTGTACTATAGCACAAAAGTAATGATGAGACCAGCAAAAATATTATGATTGCCATGATTACTCTTTATAATAATGAGAGTATTTTCTTCCTAATATTGTAGCACAAAGCTACATAAGTATCTAAGTAAACTGACACATGCTGACTTGAATACAACAACTGAAAAAAAATACCCTAAGAAAAGTTACAGTAGAAGAATCCTTTTATTTCGGTAAACTATCTTTGCCAGAGTTTTACCTAAAGATACATCAGAAAGGGCATGGTAATTCTCATTGCTGTCAATGAATCACTTATCTCAATAAAAATACAACAATAAAGAAAAGAAAAATATTATGAAAATTACTGAAGGGCTTTATAAATGAAAGGAATTAAGTGAATAAGTATATTTCTAATGAAAATAACATCCAAATATATGTCTATATAACATATTAATATGTAATTTTGATAATATATAAGAAAAAATTATTAATGCTCTTAAATGGGAATATTAAATAAAGGTGCTTTGAATAAAAGATAAAGCTCCTATAATAATCGAAGCTATTAAGGAGACAGATTTTACAAACGAGGAAAATGAGATACAGTAAAATCCAGTGATTTGCTATAGAACCTAGAATTAGTTTGTGGCACAACCAGCAAGAAAAATCAAATCCAACACAATTCCTATAGTTCACATGGCTTTAACTAACCTAAATTATTACTAAATCTAGCAAATTTTATTTAGTGCCATAAATGTCCCATAAAATGACAGTGGAGACACCAGAAATGGAATTGTAACCTATTATATGGAAAACATATGCTCTACCACTGAGTTAAATTCTCTGCTGGGGGGATCTTGCAAGATGCCCAAATAGGAACAGCTCTGGTCTGCAGCTCCCAGAGAGACCAATGCAGAAGGCAGGTGATTTCTGCATTTCCAACAAAGGCACCTGGTTCATTTCATTGGGACTGCTTAGACAGCAGTGAGCAGAAGCAGAGTGGGGCATCACCTCACCCAGGAAGTGCAAGGAGACAGGGACCTCCCTCCCCTAGCCAAGGGAAGCCAAGAGGGACTGTGCTGTCTGGCCCAGATACTACACTTTCCAACATTTTTGCAACCTGCAGACCAGGAGATTCCTTGCCTACACCACCAGGGCCCTGCTTTTCAAGCACAAAACTGGGTGGCTGTTTGGGCAGACACTGAGCTAGCTGCAGGTGTTTTTTTTTTTTTTTTTTTTTGTACCCCAGTGGCACCTGAAACCCCAGAGTGACAGACCGTTCACTCCCCTAAAAAGGGAGCCAAAGCCAAGGAGCCAAGTGGTTCGTTCAACAGGTCCCACTCCCATGGAGCACAGCAAGCTAAGAACCACTGGCTTGAAATTCTTGCTGCCAGCACAGCAGTCTGAAGTCAACTGGACTGATTGATCAAGCTTGGTGGGAGAGAGGTATCAGCCATTACTGAGGCTTGTGTAGATAGTTTTCCCCTCACAGGGTTAAGAAAGCCACTGGGAAGTTCAGACTGGGTAGAACTCACTGCAGCATAGCAAAGTGACTGTGGCCAGACTACCTCTCTAGATTCCTCCTCACTGGGCAGGGCATCTCTTAAATAAAGGTAAGCAGCCCCAGTCAGGGCCTTATACATAAAACTACCATCTCCCTGGGACAGAGCACCTAGCAGAAGGGGGGCTCTGGGGTCAGCTTCAGCAGACTGAAACATTCCTGCCTGCTGGCTCTGAAGAGAGCAGCATATCTGCCAGCACAGTGCTCAAGTTCTGCTAAGGGACAGAATGCCTCCTCAAGCGGTTCCCTGACCCCATGCCTCCTGACTGGGAGACACCTCCATACAGGAGAGCTCCAGCTGGCATCAGGCAGGTGCCCCTCTGGGACAAATCTTCCAGAGGAAGGAGCAGGCAGCACTCTTTGCTGTTCTGCAGCCTCTGCTGGTGATATCCGGGGAAAGAGTGTCTGGAGTGGACCTCTAACAAACTCCAGCAGACCTGCAGAAGAGGGGACTGCCTGTTAGAAGGAAAACTAACAAACAGAAAGTAATAACATCAACATCAACAAAAAGGACAGCCCCACAAAATACCCATCCAAAGGTCATCAGCATTAAAGATCAAAGGTAGATAAATCCAAAGATAAGGAAAAACCAGTGCAAAAATGCTGAAAATTCTAAAAACAAGAATGCCTCTTCTCCAAATGATTGCAACTCCTCTCTAGCAAGGGAACAAAACTAGATGGAGAATGAGTTTAATGAAATGACAGAAGTAGGTTTCAAAAGGTGGGTAATAACAAATTTCTCTGAGCTAAAGGATCATGTCCTAATCCACAGCAAGTAAGCTAAGAAGCTTTATAAAAGGTTACAGGAGGGAGGAGGGGTGGGAGTATATCTCATAAAAATTATTTTTAAAAAAGGTTACAGAAATGCTAACTAGAATAACCAGTTTACATAGAAACATAAATTACCTGATGGAGCTGTAAAACACAGCATGAGAACTTCATAAAGCATACACAAGTATCAATAGCTGAATGGATCAAGTAGAAGAAAGAATATAAGAGATTGAAGACTAACTTAATGAAATAAAGCATGAAGGTAAGATTAGAGAAAAAAGAATGGGTCCATTGGCAAGATGGCCAAATAGGAACAGCTCTAATCTGCAGCTCCCAGCAAGATTGATGCAGAAGGTGGGTGATTCCTGCATTTCCAACTGAGGTACCCAGTTCATCTCACTGGGACTGGTTGGACAATGGATGCCACCCATGGAGGGTGAGCTGAAGCAGCATGGGGTGTTGTCTCACCTGGGAGGCACAAGGGGTCAGGGAATTTCTCTCTCCTAGCTAAGGGAAGCTGTGAGAGACTGTACCAGGAAGAACAAGGCATTCCAGCCCAGATATTGTGCTTTTCCCATGGTCTTCACAACCAGCAGACCAGGAGATCCCCTCCAGTTCCTATGCCACCAGGGCCCTGGATTCCAGGCCCAAAACTGGGTGGCCATTTGGGCAGGAGTTTTTTTTTTCATACCCCAGTGGCACCTGAAATGCCAGTGAGACAGAAACTTCACTCCCCAGGAAGAGTGGCTGAAATCAGGGAGCCAAGTGGTCTGGCTTGGCAGATCCTACCCTCATGGAGCCCAGTAAGCTAAGATCCACTGGTTTGAAATTCTCACTATCAGCACGGCGGTCTGAGGTTGACCTGGGATTATCAAGCTTGATGTGGGGAGGGGCATCCACCATTGTTGAGGCTTAAGTAGGTGGTTTTTCCCTCACAGTGTAATCAAGGCCTTCTGGAAGTCTGAACCAGGCAGAGCTCACCACAGCTCAGCAAGGTCTTTGCGGCCAGACTGCCTGTCTAGATTACTCCTCTCTGGACAAGGCATCTCTGAAAAAAAGACAGCAGCCCTAGTCAGGGACTTATAGATAAAACCCCCATCTTCCTGGAACAGAGCACCTGGGGGAAAGGGTGGCTGTGGGTGCAGCTTCAGCAGACCTAAACATCCCTACCTGACAGTGCTAAAAGAAGCAGGAGATCTCCCAGCATGGCATTTGAGCTCTGATAAGGGACAGACTGCCTCCTCAGTTGGGTTGGTGGCCCCTGTATATCCTGACTGGGAGAACCCTCCCAGTACAGGCCAAAGACACCTCATACAGGAGAGCTCTGGCTGATATCTGGTGGGTGCCCCTTTGGGAGGAAGCTTCCAGAGGAAGGAACAGGCAGCAATCTTTGCTGTTCTGCAGCCTCCACTGGTGACACCAGGCAAACAGGGTCTGGAGTGGACCTCCAGCAAACTCAAGCTGACCTGCAGCAGAGGAAAACTGCAGTTAGAAGGAAAACTAACAAACAGAAAGGAATATCAACATCAACAAAAAGGACGTCCACTCAGAAACTCCATCCGAAGGTCACCAACATCAAAGACCAAAGGTAGATAAATCCACAAAGATAGGGAGAAATCAGTGCAAAAAGGCTGAAAATTCCAAAAACCAGAACACCTCTTCTCCTCCAAAGCATCAAAACTCTTTGCCAGCAAGGGAACAAAACTGAATGGAAAATGAGTTTGAAGAACTGACAGAAGTAGGCTTCAGAAGGTGGGAATAACAAACTCGTCTGAGCCAGAAAAGCATGTTCTAACCCAATGAAAGGAAGCTAAGAACCTTGAAAAAAAGGTTAGATGAATTGCTAACTATAATAATCAGTTTAGAGAAGAACAAAAATGACCTAATGGAGCTGAAAAACACAGCACAAGAACTTCGTGA